TACAACAAACATGCACATCCAGAAAGTTATAACCTGATATATAAGTGCATACACAAATATATGCACATAATTTTAACACTAATACATAGTAACACACGCAAACATATCCATAAAAACCGAACCCTAATATATACTAGCACACCCAAACATATACACAATATTGGAACCTAATACATACTACAACACACAGACACATTCAAAAGATTGGTACCTGATGCATAACTCCACACAGAAACACATACACAAAATGTGAATCTCATATACACTACCATACACAAACTCTTCCACAAAATTGGAACCCTTATACATACTACCAGACACAAATCATCCATTAATGTGGAACCTTAATATATATTACAACACACAAAACCATACACAAAATTGGAACCTGATATATATGCTACCATACATATTTTGAACCCTAATACATACTACCACACACAAGAACATCCACAAATTTGTACATGATACATACTACCACAATCAAACACATCCTCAAAATTGGAACTATAATATATACTACCACGCACAAACACATACACTGAATTGGAACCTAAAACATACTACCACATATAAATACATCCACAAAATTGGAACCCTTATACATACTACCACATCGAAAATCATCCACAAAATTGGAACCTGATACATACTACCACTCACAATAACATTCAGAAAATTGGATTCCTGATACATGCTACCACACACAAACATATCCAAAAAACTGCGACCTGACACCTACTACCATACACAGACACATCCACAAAATAGGAACCCTAATATATACTAACGCATAAGCACTTCTATAAAATTGGAACCTGATACATACTATAACATACAAACACATCCACAAAACTGGACCTGATACATACTACAACTCCCAAACACATTCACAAAAGCTGAACTCTAATACATACTAACACCCAAATACATCCACAAAATTGTAACCCTAATATATACTACCACACACAATCTCTACAGACCAGAAAAATGAACAACATCAGTAGACAAGAGAAAAAATTTAGACTAATTATCTATTTCATAAATTTTTAAACCACCAATCTTATAGTTAAAAATAATAATTCATGTTTTAAATCAATGTTAAATAGAACAATTATTATTTGTGTTTTGAAAATAAAATATTTTATAATACTTAATACAAACATACAATAATCTTTTTCTAGTTAACAGTTAATATTTTTCATCCTTGAAAATATTTAATTGAATAGCCGAACTCGCTCGTATAAATATAATATTTGTACAGTTTTCTATAATTTATCCACTGCAAAGAAAATATATTAGTATCATATGAGAAATTATATAAAAATTTTAATCAAATAACCTTGTCTCTCATACTTAATGAAGCCTGCATATATATATATATATATATATATATATATATATATATATATATTAAATACATTGATATATATATATATGTGTGTGTGTGTGTTTGTGTGTGATTGATAGGATAAGAAAAATAGGAAGCGTTTATGGATTTATGATGTTTCACTTTTATTTAAGCTTCATCATAATTTTTTAATGAATTATAGAAAAGAATGTTACATTAAATATAATTCTGTGTTGTTTTTTTTATTGGTCAGGTAGACCTCCTTTGCCTTTTTTGTGTTTTTGCTGTTTAGTTTTGTGTGAGTGTGGGGGCGCGCGTGTATGTATTCTAGAAGGGGTTAAATCATGTTCGTCGTGTCCGTGTGTATAACTGCTGAAAATGGTTGTGAAAAGATGGCGTTCCTTTTTAGTGTTTCTAATATCTAATTGGTCTTCTGGGATTTGGGTGATTATGTGCATGCGTCTAGTGGGTATTTTCTGTTTTTTGCCTGGTAGTGTCCTTATGCTGATTTTGGTGGATGTTTGATGTGGGAGTGAAAGACGTAAGTTACATCGGTAACAAATATGTGGATCTTAGATTCTTTATGTATGGGATTTATGAAAGTTTCTTGATATGAAAAATTGTGTTAGCATTAATCTTTGGGATATATTTTTGACAACCCCCTTTTATGTGAATCGTTGCATGTCAAAAGAGCACGATTACACTCTTTTTCAGATATTATGAAGAATATTTTGCCATATAATATACAGAAAGTGCACGATGACTGGGGAGATGTCTTACAAATTTGTCATCATATCTTCAGTAAGTATTAGTATTATTTATGTACTGGTCGAGAATTTGTCCAATTCTTCAGGTTTAGATTTTTCCACTATTAACGATATTATTACTAGATTTTGGCGTAGGAATTACTTTTCCTTTTTATATGTTACGTAATTATCAGTAGCAAAACAAAATAGATGTATTTTTGTACTTCGATTACAAATAAAATTCTTCAAACACACATGAAAGACTAAAAGGCAACTACAGATACGCTGAGCGGACTCTAGTTACTGTTTCTTAGAGGGAGCGCAAAATCTGGACTGATCTGTAGGTGAACAAATGCATTATGATGGAACTCTTTGATATTTTATGTGACATCGACTGCTTGAAGGAAGTTTTGTCTCTACAGTTCCACTCGTAAGATATAGGTTAATCCATTGTATTGTTTTCAGGTACTTCTAAAATGGGATCTTCCCCAAGTTCAACATTTTCAAGAAGTCAAATTACCATAGTGACATTGGTCTCATAGTCAAAACCGTCTGTTACGCACCAGTATGGAAATAAATAAATAATATGTGAGAGAGATTAGTGAATAAAATAATAAACTGCATATTTTGTTTTTGTAATGAAACCCTTGACAACTTGTATTATCTTGGTGTTTCATGACGTAATCAAATATCGATATGCTACCTTAAAGATATGTTTCCGCCGCATGCATTTTGACATCAGTCATAAAGAAAGTAATCTGTATAAGCTGTCGTATTTAGTTTAAAACAATGTTTTTTTTTGGGGGGGGTGCTGCTGTATCATCCATCACTCAGTCATTCAGTGCTCATTCCTGCATGGCATACTGAATTTCTCACATCTCCTCTGATCGATCGTTTACATTTTTCTCGTTATGCGTTCATGGAAATCGTCCTTTCCTTTTCTCATTCCCCCATCCATGCTCCCCTTAATAATTTCAAAAGAATTTAGATTGCTTTGTAGCTGGTCGGTTGGGGAAGCAACCTGTCGCAATGAATATGTTAAGCTAGGGGTAACATTATTGGGGGAATTTCGGTATGCCTCTGAGATATTAGATTGGCAGATTGAAGGGATGGAAGTAGCGGGGAAGGTTATGAGTGTTTTTTTTTTAAAGGAAGGCAAAGAATAGAAATGTTCACATTGATGAGTGAACATTAGTAGAGAACATTGAAGAATAAGAAGTAATGCACAAGTGAAACGGAGGGAAACACGAGAGAAAACCAATGACAGCTCGCTGCAGAGAGAACAGCAAACAAAAAAATACTAAACGAGTACCAGAGACAGCGAAACAAAAAAAAATACGAAAAAAAAAATGCCCAAAAGCTAAGAAATTCTCTAATGATGATAATTGTTATAAAGAAAATCTCGGAAAACTACTTGAGTTGGAAAGAAACACGAAAAATATCGAATTCTTTTGAATTATATTTTTTACGAATTATCAAGTTTACAGGTTTCTAAAATTAGAATTTTTTTTTCATATTGTAAGATTTTGGAGGGGATGTAATAATGATTTGCTGGTAACAGTCTTCTTAATTAACACATAGCTGGCGAGAGGAGAGATGCTTTCATTCCTTCTCTAAAGTTATTTGCGCGTAAGTGAATATAACGAGAGCGACTTAACTTAGAACTCTGCTCTCCGATTTCCAATTCCAATACGTCATTCATTACACCACCCAGACATTCAACATTACAGCATCTGTTATTCCCAAGCAGTCACTCATTTAGGTACAGATAAGGATCGACGTTGCTTAACAACAGTGATCGAACGCGAAACTCTATTTGAAAGTTATTAAACCACGAAAAAGTTTGAAGATGTCCTCACCAATTCTGCCTTTGCAAAGAGTCTCACCAAACAAATGAAAAACCAGGAAATCCGAAGAAGATTTGATACTATCCAGAAAATTACATTACTCATAACCGCCGCAATAATAGTGTTGGAATATGGATTTGATATACTCTCCTTTATTTCTTAGTGTAAACCACCAGTGTGAAAACCCAATGTATGTGTCAAAGTAAACACATTTTGTTAGTTGAATACTAGACATGTAAAGCAATATCTCCGAAGGAAGTATGCCGAAAATAAATATTCCTTTATAAAGAGATGAGACTGAACCGAAATGGGTCTGAGAAGGAATTGTAAAATTGTCTAATCAATTTGGAAAAATATTGTAACGCGTAAAGTTAAAAAAGAATTCAATGGAAATAATGGATTGATTATGTGTTTCGATACAAAGAGTAGATATGGTCATGAAGATTCATGCAAAAGTATTACATGTAGAATGAAGACTGAAGGGTGATAGATGGAATAATATATCGAAAGAAGTTGATTCACACGATGAATGTCCAATAGAAAATATATATTACGAGACAGTGTAAAAGAATTTCACCACCAAGAATATGAATTTCAAGAAAATTATTAGTTTGAACGTTAATGTATTTTAGTAGAAATAAGTTACATATTTTAGGAGAGGTAATAACTTGTGTCACGTTGTGTTACGAGGTTGGCGCACCTGTCTAAGAGGAGGGAAATTGTTTACCAAAAGAAATTCGTTGATAAATTGATTTACTCATCGGAAATGTGCACCCATATTGAATCATTCTGTTCAATAGATGGAATGATTCATTTTCTACGGTTTTGTCAACAGTTTTGCAAGTTGTTTAAAATACTTTTAGATAGCAAGAAATAAATTTCGGAAATAATAATAGTTTGGTGATACAAGACTTATTAAATAATCAATAGTTGTGACAGAGAAGATGTGGAATCATACTTTTTCCCGCGGTATTTGCGCATAAGGGAATATAACAAACCTAACGAGAATTGGAAATCTGAATAAAAATTTCGAGCCATTATCCATTATACGACCTGTACACCAATGGTCACCCATCTAGGTACTGACAGGCCCTTGTTTGCTTATCTTCGGTGATCGTACGGGAAACGGTGTATCAAGACAATATGGCCGGTAGCCCATTCTACTCAAGGCCTATAGAGAAATCTCTAGTCTATACTACTGATGTTTTGTTTTTAGCAGAGGATTTCTTATTCTTGAAATTATGATTGGATTCAAGCTATTTTCAGTTGGTGAGATAATCAGAAGACACAGGAACGTGTATTGAATTAATTTATCGTTAGGAGTGCGGGTTAAATATTTATGTTTGTTCTGTCAGTCATATGCAGACATCCATGCAGGAATATAGTAGATTGGATTAATTGCTTGCAAGGATCGGGATGTTTATTCGGATCAAAATAGCTAGCAACTTCACAGTATCATGACCGAAGTTAAAAGAGAGGAATAGATAATTTTCTCCGAGAGAAAATCTACATCATAAGATGGTTTATATCATCTTCTTAAAGCGACTATATTATTTTATTTTACCAAACTCATGTGACCAGATTTCTAAAATGCCTTCCGGGAATTCATATCTTCATCTCAAGTATCAGGTATAACAATGGGTCGCTGCATTTTCATTTCTATTGAATATTTCTCCTAATTTTCTTCCCGTCAATTCACTACCTGGCCAAATCTCCAAGATTATTTACAATTTTTCTCAAAGGTATTTATCATCTTCTTCTGTTAACACTCTCAGAAATCAGAACTATTCTCCGATCGGTCTCATTTTGAAACAACATAAATATCATTACGAGCTCATGCAGCGAGCAATTTTCTTTGTAATGTCTATTTAGTTGTATTGCATTTTTATGCTCTGAAAATTGTTTTGTTTTCCCTATCAGCTGTTTTTTCATTGATCTCATGTGACACATCTACGAGGAGAAAAATAAACGCTAGACTTTCAGGAAAGCATCTACAAATGTTATTTAGGCTGAGTGATATGTTGAATATGAAAGTTTAAACCTAAATAAAGTTTGTATTGATTCGCATTTCAAGAAGCTTTTCCTCAAACCAGCATGATGAATGAATTTTAATACTCAGATATCATCTGGAATTGAATTTTAATCTTTCAAGTTTGTTCCCTATTTTTACGCTTAGAAAATATAAAACATAATAGGAATGTACTAAATTCCACATCGTTCTTTCCTGAAAGTTGAGATGATACACCCAGATAACATTTATTCACTCGGAATTTTTACATGTATTAAATAAAATTGCGCATTATGTATGATAACAAATTGCATAAACGTTTTGAAATCGGAAAATAAGAAACGAAATTCTCTAAAAAGTGTAAGAAATTGGTTCGGAAACATAGTAATATAATAAAAACCAACTAGACAAATTCTCATTTGTAAATATATTTGCATAGCATTCAAAATTCGAAGAAGTCCACTGTTACAAAAACCAATAGATGTAATTAGGCTAATATTTTGCGCTGAATGTTCTGACACCAAAACGATGGACAATCATTTAAAATACGTGATCAAAATCTTCTGATTTGAAAGAAGTGATCCAAAGTGGTGAGAAGGGAGTTACAACAATTCTCTCGAGGACAATCAAACTGTTCGCTATCGCTCACTCACCGTCTATAACCGAAAACCAGTGAAATCAATGAATTACTTCGTGAAACGTATCAGTGTCTCGTATTATCGGTCCTATTCGTTGCGTTAATAAAGCCATATCAAGTAAAAAAAAAAATTCCTAGAAGTGAATAACGGATCTTTATCCACAGACTTTGGAAGAATATTATCCTAGCATGAATTTGTCAGTGTTTTTGCGTCTCTTAAAACATTATATGTTTCTTTCTTTTCTTTCTGCTTTGATCTGTGTTTGTTTGAGTATGCCTTATTCTTTTTAGGCTATCATGTCTCTAGATAGCTTCCTCCCTTTCGATGTCCTAAGTAATTCTTGCTGCTTTATGACACCTTTTTTTCAGTCTTTGGTACCCTTGATGTGCCATTCATTTACGCAAGCACGTGAAATGACTTCCTCACAGCTTTCGTTTCTTTCTCATGAATAGCAATCTATTATACTTTCTTCGCCTGTATTTCGGACCCCATTGTTATTGATCATACCTTGTAAAGCGCTTTTATCTAGTGAGTTGTAGATTTTCTTCAATTTTCTAATATTATCATACGGTCAATGTACCCATACGTTAAAGACCTATTTTATAATTATTTTTCTGCTTGTTTAAGTTTTTAGGTTTGAAGTTTTGCTTATTGTTTTTATTTTTAATTTTGGCGGAACAATAGAGGAAGAGACACAACGCCACTTTTTTTGAAGCCATGGTGCACGATTTAATTTGCGAATCGACTTCTCAACTATATCACATCAATATTCGAATGAATGGTCAATGGACATGTGAATCGCCCTTACTTTTCCGAATGGTCCTCAAACCGTAAATCAGCGTAGTTTCTTGATTGAATAACCTAATATTTTAGGCTTTATGGAGTCGATAAATTGGTTCAAATATGAATGAATATGTGCATCGGTGATGTCAAGTTTGATGATGGCTACAATGGTACTTGAACCCAACTACATTCAGGTGAATATAATCGAGCCTTTACGTTGGTTTTGACAAGTGAAGTCAGTTCTATTTGTAGTCTGTTCCACCCCAGAAACATACCAAAATTCTGAAAAATTTGAATATGTGACTCATAAGACAAACGAGGTGATAACAATTCTCCATGTTTCAATTATCAAAAAAACGTGTCCATGTTCTCGGAGTCGATATATTAATAGGAATATCCAAGTGAATGTGTTTGTTGTATGAAAATGCTGTACTGTTTAAATGCTTCTTTTTAATGCTGCTTATTGACGACATTTATTTTTAGATGCAGATTACATACACACACACACACACACACATACACACACATACACACACACACATACACACATATATATATATATATATATATATATATATATATATATCTTACACTGCTATTCACTATGCGGTGCTGGTTCCTATGTCTACACCGTCAATAAATGTTTTACTGAACACTATTCACAGATAATTATAGAATGTTCTCAACACACGATAAATATAGAATGAATCGCAAACGGACACTCATATAGATAGATAGATAGATAGATAATATATTATTTAATACTATTTAGAAAAATAACAGTTTTAGGGGGATTTTGCAGCAAGGAAACATAAAAATGCACAATCAATTCAAGCTAAACTTCAAACAAGACTTAATTCCCGTGAGTTCTAGTAGATATCTATCCAAATTCTCAATAGAGGCAAACTGCCTTGAAATTTCCTTGAGGTCATCACATTCTCATCGATTAAGTCTAGTGAATTTACATTGAACTAAAGATCTGATACCATGCGAGTCAACATATCAATGACCTATTCGACTTCCCACCTGTCACAGAAAAGAATCTATCACATCAGGGGAAGATCTCAATATCATCAAAAACATTGACTCAACGGGTCGGGTTTAAACCTCAACGGTTGTTTTTAAGAACATCAACCAAGTGTTATCTCAAATTTTGGTAAAGCTGTTTCACCGCTACCTGGAGAAATGTTTCCAACATCGATAGATGCTAACAACCGTTTGCCATGTTGTCAAAAAAAAGCGGGAGATCTCATCTCCGTCTCAATGACAATCCGTCATCCTCTATAGCGACATCAGGAAATTATAACATGAAGGTCGGTGACCAGCTCAGCATAAACAACCCTCAATGCTAGAAGCGATATTGATTTTTTTTCTTCCGCTCAACAGCAGAAACCCGAAGTGTCGATAAACGCAGAATCGATTGGAAATTCATAAGAGGATCAATCACCATTGATATCTCAAATGCTTTTGTTATAAGGCTCTGTTCCAGAAACAGCCCATCTACGGAATAGCAAGAAGAGTTATTACAATCATCAAGTTCTTACTGCTAGGTCGGTCTTTGAAAGTTGTTATCGATTGAAATCTATGATATTATTGGGTGCATTATTTACATTATTCGGACTAATGTCCTCATCTTTGTCGCTATATTTATCACAACGTTTCGGCCGTTGTACGCTCTGGCCTTCTTCAGGTGGTCTGAATTTCGAACTGAACGCTTTATTTCGCTCACTGGGGTAGACTCTTCTAGTTCCATGTTTTTGATGGATGTCAGTTTTCAGTTATCTCCTGCTAATTTCCCCTATGGAAGTTCCCCGCTGCCTTAACCGGGTATTGAACCCTTTGGGTCCTGTCACTGGATCTAACCACTTTCTGAGCGACTGTGCGGTTCATCTCTCTTCCTACGGGCAGGAGGAACCCGAAGGAGGCTACGCCGAAGGGCGGAGTCTCCTTCGAGGAGGTAAAACCGGCCCAGAACCCGTTTATACGGGTTCAAATGGGCTATTTTTTGTCGACAATATAGTTAAATTCCCAGATGAATTCTGTGGACAAGACAGGTTGGTATCAAATGACAATTGGAAAAAAAAAATAATAATCCCTTACTATAAAGGTAATTTACATTAACCAGAAAAAAGGCTTAGACACAAGCGTCTATCTTTTTAATTTTGAATTTTAATGTAACTATAACAGCAAAAACATTTCGATTTCATTTTTGCCTTGAAAAAGTCGGAAGACGAAACGCGTCGGCAAAATGTACGATTTTTTTCCAATTGTCATTTGATACCAATCTGTCTTGTCCACAGAATTCATCTGGGAATTTAACTATATATATATATATATATATATATATATATATATATATATATATATATATATATATATAAATAAATAAATAAATAAAAAATAAATAAAAAAATAAGTAGGAGGATTTGATAAACATATAAATAAATTCATTGAGTCTGATGTAAACCTCAACAGGAAAATAGAGGAAGCACTGGACGGCCGTTTCGTCCTATAATTGGGACTCATCAGCAGTGCATCATCCACCACCAGGTATCGAAACCCTGTCAGTTGGGTTGTCAAGCAGACAACATACCAACTGTCTGTCAGGGTTTCGATACCTGGTGGTGGATGCGCACTGCTGATGAGTCCCAATTATAGGACGAAACGGCCGTCCAGTGCTTCCTCTATTTTCCTGTTGAGGTTTACATCAGACTCAATGAA